GGGGGGGGGGGGTTAGCTTTCTGTCGCGAGGAAGATGGCTGGGCCATTTTTAATATAAGTATAGCGTATATATGCAAGGCGCTATACCTACCTGTCTTTTCAACTTCATGTATAGCGCATCCCGTATATGCGTTATACTTATAATTTGACCGACATTTGAATTTCAAATATAGCGCATGTTTTGCATGCGCTATACCTTAAGGTATAACGCATTCAACCCATGCGTTAAGGTATAGCGTATTTAACCCATGCGTTATATATAAATTGATCATCAGTTAGTTTTTCACCTATTTTTGTGCTTTGAGTAAAAAAAGTAATACTTTGGTTCCAGACTCAAGCAAACACTCCCTTCCCATTTTAATTTGCAGCATCATTTCTATTCTTTTTCTCTCTATTTTTTCAATCAACTGCAAATTAAGTAAAGTGGTATAATAAAGTTCTATGTTATTTTTAGTGGTAGAATTCCTGAGATATATTTTACATGGCATGAATGCGCAAAGCAAGTTGTGGGATTTAAGAAAAACTTGTATAGATCTTACAAATCTCTGGAGAATGCAACGAAAGCCTACTCAGATTTTAAAGGTGAAAGTGTAATTAAGGAAGAACCAGCATGCTCTAGTATAGAAAATGAAGGAAAACATGGTTTGAGAAATGAGAAGCTGTTCTGGAAGCAGTATTCTTGGCTGGTGTAATAATGGGGATGAAATTGTCGGATAATTAGTGAGAATAATGTCCTTTTGTTTGCAGTACATAATGAAGAGTTACATTTTGAGTATGAGCTATTCTTGATGTTTGTGTCTGTAATATTAAATTATAATAAAATAAAATATGAAATTGTCTTGAAATTTAGAAAATGAATGGTTGAAGAGGAAAACACTATGTGAGAGGTTAGAATAATAATAAAAAGGGTTTAGTTTAATTAATTTGGTGTTACACAAGCAAAAAATGCATATAAACCTATTAAGCTTAAGTAACGAAAAAAGGTCGGGATCGGTAAAAATAGCACGGGCTAACCAGTTTTCGGACTGATAATTGAAAAATAGCCAGCGTTTGCAAAGTCATTGAAAAATAGCCACTATTTTGCTGCAACACGGAAAGTTTCAGCCTAATATACTGGAGATTGGTGCACATGTGTATGAACTTCGAGCATATTATGCTGGAACTCCAGTACAATGAAAGCTCCAGGATAATATACAGGAGATTAGAGCACATGTGTATGAACTTCCAGCATATTATGCTGGACAGTATATTATGCTGGAAGTTCACATATAAAAAATTCGAACTCCAGTATATTATGCTTAGGAGTAAGTTGCCATTTTGGTGGAATAGCATCATCTGTCAAGATCAATCATCGAAATTTATTTTAGACGAATTAACCCAAATAGCCGCCCATCCAATCGTTTAAACTAAAAATAGCCAGTGGAGATATAATATATGCATATGTACGACCCAGATTCCCATTCAAGGGACCGTGATGGCGCCCAACATTTTACTTGCTAGGCAAGCCAACATTAGAATAGTTATTAGTCATTTTTAACAATTCAAATTAACTGATACCGAGTAAACTGAAATAAAACTGAAATAGAGAGAGAAAACCTATAATAACAACAATATCTTGATACAATCCTAGAACTGGCATCACAAGTGCACGAGCGACTAGAATAACACAGATAATGGTCTGAATGAAAGTAAAACTGTCTCAAATGAAGTAAACAACTAGGATAAGGTAGAAGGGGACTTCAGGGCTGTGAATGCCGAGCAACTGTACCTCAAGTCTCCGTCAGGCAATCAATTTGAGCCGCTAGGACCGACTCCAAAATCTGTACAAGAAGTGCAGAGTGTAGTATGAGTACAACCGACTCCATATACTCTATAAGTGCTGAGCCTAACCTCGACGAAGTAGTGACAAGGCTAAGGTGGGTCACTTACAATAACATGTACGTAGTAAAATAATAATAATAGGAAAGGAACACATGAAAAATAAGGCAGTTAACTCATGAAAATAAACTCAATCCTCGAAATCAGTAAAATCAGAAATATCAGTCTCGTACGAAAACACTGAAAGGTAACACAATGCACAATGAATACAAAACACATAATATGTTCGGGCACACAACCCGATCCCACCGTACAAACACAAACCTCTCTTATTTCACCAAATCAATATGAAGAATAACATGTAAAATCCGTTGCGGTGCTCAACCCGATCCCATCATATAATCAGAATCAATATCATAATCCTCCCTTATTTCACCATATCAAAATCACATGTAAAATTCGTTGTAGCGTGCAACCCAATCCCACCATATCAATATCAATCCTCTCATATTCCACCCGTTGCAGCGTGCAACCCGATCCATAAACAAAATTAATAAATGTAAGCAATTCAACAACTCACTTCACAAGAATCTCTACATTTAAAGAATATGAAAACAAGCCATAAAGTGACCTCGTAACAAATCAAGGAATGCTACAATTAATACAAAGCAACAAGACAAGTCAAATATATGACAATTAAAGTGTACAAGTAAGACAATTAGGCAAGTAGAAATTAATCATGGAACCAAGAAAGAAACGAACATTTTAATATGAGAAACATAAGTGACAAATAGCAAGTTAAGGCATAGGACGCAATTAAAGCATGTAACCGTTAAGACATGGAATAAAATAATTGATGAAATACAGAAAATCATGGAAACAAGTATTTTGGTGGCGTATATACACTCGTCACCTTGCATGTACGCCTGTAATTCACATAGCACACAGCTCAAGGGTTCCTAATTCCCTCAAATCAAGGTTAGGCCCAATACTTACCTCGCTCCGCAAGAAAATCAAAGCTCAATTGGGGCATTTTCTCTAAAATCCGCCTCCAAACCAATCGAATCTAACCAAAATCGACTCAATAACATCAAACAATGCTAGGAAATTCAATTACAATACATAAAGTTAAGATCTTTAAACTTTTCCCAAAAATTCAAACCCGAGTCCGCTTGGTCAAAACTTGAGATTCAGACCAAAATCCAATTACCCATTCACCCCGAGCCCGATTATGTAATTAGTTTCGAAATCTGACCTCAATTTGAGGTCTAAATCTCAATTTTATAAAAAAACCCCAATTCTTCCCATATCCCTAATTTTCTACCATGAAAGAACATATATTAAGGTTAGAAATTAATGGGTGT